CTCCCTCCCCCCTCATTTACCATTGGGATTCTCCCATTGTCTATGCTGTTGTCTTGCAACCCTGGGTAAATACCTCACTTAACCCACTACTTCATACAATAGCTTGTAAAAACTGGACCCTAAGATTCATCTTAGCTTCCCGCCAGCAGCATTGCTGGAAGAGCATGGAGGACACTCCCTAGCCCACTTTACAAGTATGTGACAGACAGGATGAGATAGCATACCAAGAGCTCTGCCTTCAAGAGGAAAGTGCTGGGTATTTTCCATGGATCTTCTTACCCGCCCCCCAAATCTATTCTCCACCTTTTTCTGCCTTGTCCACGGGAGACCAACCCTCCCATGGTCTGTGTCACATGGGTTTCTGGTTGGGTTTGGCCAGTGACAGGCACTGACATGAGATTAGAAGGTGGGAAGAGAGAGAAGTCAGAGTATTTATTCTTCCTGTTCCTTTCCTGTCCAGCCATGGTTCTGGAAAGGGCAGCATTCCTCAATGGCCACAACTGCTATCAGGCAACCCTCTTCCATAGCTCCTTCTCTCACCAGGCTCTAGCATTACTTCCCTCTCTTTGCCTCTTCTGGTCGAGGGGTAGTAATGCTTTCCCTCTGTTGCTAGTCCCTGAACGTCTTACCATCCCATGTTGCTTCCCTTATTCCTGCCCACATCTTCATTCAGCTCATCTCGGATAAATCCTTTGAGTGTGCCATCTGTCGCTTGCCAGGACCCTGCCTCATACAAGCAGGACAAGGAGCCACCCTAGGACTGGGGCCAGGATAGCGCCATTTCCATGGAGCCTGGGGTTCTCCTCCCCATCAGGTGAGAGCATATGTTGTCAGAGCCATAGGCTTGGGTACTAGAAAAAACTGCGAATCCAAATCTGATGTCGGGGTGCAAAAGACATTCTTTCATACAAGGCTCTTGGGCTTTGTGTGAAGAAGTGAGGTATGAAGGCCAGGCTTTGTTAGGACCAGACCCTAAACAAAGAGGATGGTACGGAATCTCTGTTCACTCCTGACTTACTGGTCCGTGTTAGGGTGGCTCAGGTGCTCTCAAATCCGGACTTCATGGGAATAAACAATCTTATCTGAATCAGAGAGAGTGATAAATCAAGATGTCATTTTAGTCCTTAGTAGGGCAGTGTGAGTACGGCATATTTCCTTTGCCTACATTGTTCCCAAGCCAGCTATCTGGCATCCTCTATGACCTGGAATGATCATAATCACCTGAGGTGACTATTGTGGGTCTCCTGGTTTGTGTTAATTGTTCCCATGGCTGGAATTCAACATGTCTGTGCATGTCTCATAACTTGCAGGGGGGGCAACACAAAGCTATTTATTTGCATCAGTATCAAATTGCACAGGGCACCTGTGTAAAGGAGGTTTTCATGGGCACCGGGGAGATATGAAAATAAAGAAGATAGTCCTTATTTTTCTTGGGTGTTGATTTTCCTGCCCAGCCTCAGAGACATGTATTTGAGCCCTATATATATAGAGAGGCTAATGGCAAAACCTGATGGATCTGGTTCCCCTCTGAAGTGTGATAGTGTGGGAGGGAGCACTCCCCTGATGCCTTGATAATTTGCAATTTCAGCGGTCTAAGGAGGCTACACTCTTCACACAGATGTGGTGGTAAGAAAAATTATACAAAATCTGGAAATAAGACAAAAGGGTGTCCTTCCCATGTCATATTGGAGCCTTGTCTAACAGGTCTGCCTAAAGATTATTTAATTCTTGGGGTGCCTGGGTGGCTCAGTCCTTACGTGTCTGCCTTCGGCTCAGGTCATGATCCTGGGGTCCTGTGATCGAGCCCCGCATCGGGCTCCCTGCTTGGCGGGAAGCCTGCTTCTCCCTCTCCCACTCCCCCTGCTTGTGTTAACTCTCTCGCTGTCTCTCTCTCTGTCAAATTAAAAAAAAAAAGATTATTTAATTCTCTAGGGAAATGCATTTTGTTAGACTTCCTATTGACTATTGATTAAGGCCAAGTCTTTGTGAAGTCTTTGTTAACTTGCAGATTTTTGTTTATAGGGATGCAAGTGACTGAGTCCAGTAGAAAAGACCACACCCAAGGTAACAATGGTATTTCCCTACAGTCCATTAACTAGTATTGTATCTAATTTAGTAATCTTATTCTAGAATTATTTCTTTTAGTGCCTATATGCACTTTCTTTCAAATGCTTCTTTGAATCAATTTATCATACTGCTGTTTCTTCGTTAATGAGTTAAATAAAATTGGTATAGGTGCTAACTTTGTATTTTGTCCTAGTCATATTTTTTAAAAAAGATTTTGTTTATTTGAAAGAGAGAGAGAGGGTGCCTGGGTGGCTCAGTTGGTTAAGTGTCTGTCTTTGGCTCCGGTTGTTGTCCCAGAGTCCTGGGATCGAGCCCCGGTGGTCAGGCTCCCTGCTTAGTGGAGAGCCTGCTTTTCCTTCTCCCTCTACCGCTCCCCCTGCTTGTGCTCTCTCACTCTCTGTCAAATGGATAGATAAAATCTTAAAAAAAAAAAAAAGAGAGAGAGAGAGAGAGAGGGCACATGGGCAGAAGGGAGGGGCAGAGGGGAGGGAGAAGCAGGCTCTTTGCTGAACTGGGAGCCCATTGCTGGCCTCAGGTGTTTTATTGAGCAATGTGAAAAGAATGGTGGGAGCTATATGTTAACTATAGCTGACAGATATGTTTGTGAGGACATTAGATACACCTCCTGATGACTCCGAGACATCACTTGGTGAAATAAATACTTTACCCCAAGTTCCTGGTTTTATCTTGACTGTGAAGACGAAAGGAAGTCAGAAGAGGGAGGCTGCCGAAGTTTCACTGAGACATTATTTCAGAACCTTTTCCTGAAAACTTCTGGATGGATATCTTTTTGCCAACTCTAACTCAGCATATCTAACACTGGGCTTATATTTTCCCTCAAACATACTCCTACCATTTTCCCTAGTCTATTGAATGGCACCTCTGCTCATCCAGTCCTTCAAGCCAGAAACTGGAAAGTTCTCTTGGACTTCTCCTGCTTCTCCATCTTCTACCTATAATCAGTATTGTCAGCCTAAATAAAGAGGTAAACTGAGGCAAGCTGGAATTACCAGAAATTGAGTTTATTCAGGAATAGCAGAGGAATTGCAATTTGGAAAACCCATGCTGTAGCAAGCTACAGGCTAGTCTATTGAGGGCTTGGGTGGGCTGTATTCATGGGCAGAGTGCAAAGAGGGGGATATCCAGCCCCTGTCAAAGCAGTAAGTTCATTGGCTTGAGGACGGAGAGAGATTCCTGGTGGGTTTTCATTGGTCAGGAGATAAGTCTCAGTCTTCTTATAAATCAGACATTTATGGGAAACTGGTCTGTCTCTCAGTTCTTAAGTTCCATTTTTTCAAGTATATATCCGTGAGATTCTCCATTTTGTATCCTCCAGTCCCATTTTATTTATTTATTTATTTATTTTAAATGTTTTTTTATTTTTTTAAAGTAATCTCTACACCCAACAGGGGGCTCAAACTCATGACCCAGAGATCGAGAGTCACACGCTCTACTGACTGAGCCAGCCAAGCACCCCCTTCAGTTCCATTTTAATTAATTTTATTTTATTTCATTTTATTTTTGTTTAAACATTTTTTAAAAAGTTTTAAGATTTTTTTATTTATTTATGAGAGAGAGAGAGAGAGACCATGCGCACACGAGTGGGGAGGGAGGGGCAGAGGGAGAGGGAGAAGCAAACTCCTGGCTGAGCAGGGAGCCCAACGCAGGACTTGATCCCAGGACCCCGAGATCGTGACCTGAGCCAAAGGCAGATGCTTCACTGACTGAGCCACCCAGGCATCTGTAAAAAAATTTTTTTAAGTTTTATTTATTTAAGTAATCTCTGTACCCCACATGGAGCTTGATATCATGCCCCCAAGATCAAGAGTTGCAAGGTCCTCAAACTGAGCCAGCCAGGCCCCCCTAAAGATTGTTTTTAAAGATTTTATTTTTAAGTAATCTGTACACGCAACATGGGGCTCAAACTCATAACCCCAAGATCAAGAGTCACATGCTCTACCCAGTGAGCCAGCCAGGAGCCCCTCCAGTTCCATTTTAGACTGAAATTTGTTTACACACCCAAGTCTTACTATCTCATAAACATTTATCCCTTCTTATTCAGTCTTCCTATTACTGCTTTCTCAATTCAATTCTTAACACCTCTCACTTGATGAGCCTCCTCACCTGCCTCAGGGTCACCTTTCTTATCACCTATTCTGCCAGTCTGCTTTATATCATGTTGTCAGTTTCATCTCACTAAGGAAAATTGTAATCATGTTACTCTTCTGATTAAAACCCTTCAAGGGTGGGGCACCTGGGTGGCTCAGTTGGTTAAGTGTCTGTCTTCAGCTCAGGTCATGATCCCAGGGTCCTGGGATCAAGCCCCACTTCTGGCTCCCTGCTCAGGGAGGAGCCTGCTTCTCCCTCTCCCTCTACCGCTCCCTCTGCCTCTCCCCTTGCTTGTACTCTCTCACACACTCTCTCTCTCAAATAAATAAATAGATAATCTTTAAAAATAAATAAATAAAATAAAACCCTTCAAGGGAAGCCAGTGCAGAAGTGGAGTGGATGGAATTTAATGATGGAATGGATAAAACAATAAAGGGCATGAAAAAAAATCTTCAAGGGTTTCTTGCGGCCTATAGGGTAAAGTCCAGTCCAGGCCCTTAGCACTAAAGCATTTTACGACCCGATCTCAACCCGTTTTATCAGCCTGGTCTCATCTCCAGGCCCTCCCTAGCAAACATCCTATACTGCAGTTACATTGCACTTCTCACCATGCTTTTTTGAGCTTCCTTGTTTTTGTCCTTTCTGTTCCCTTTGTCCCCTTCACTTATGACTGTATTCCTGGTCACCTGCCAAACTCCTCCAGGTGGAAGTCACTGGAGTCTCCTTAAATTTTACACCCTACACACCTTACTTACCTCACCCTGGTCCCAACACTGATAGCTCTTGAAAATACCCCTATTAGATAATATTAAGCAAAAGAAGCAAAGTGAAATAGGGTATTATAGTAGTCTCCCATTTGTTCTGGAAAGAAGGAGGAATTTCAAAAGCATTCATATATCTATTTATGTTTTTAAAAAGAAACACAAGACAAACCAGAATACAACAAGGTTGATCACCTACAAGAGGTTGGGTCAGAGAGGAGAGATGGTGCAGGAAAGATGTGGGAAGGAGTGACACTTCTGAGTATGCATTACTACATAGTTTTGACTTCTAAAGCATATTAGTATTCTATATATTCAAAAACGAAAAGTAAATCAATAAGGATGAGAAGGGGGAGGGGCGCCTGGCTGGCTCAGTCAGAGGAGTATGCGACTCTTGATCTTGGGGTTGTGAGTTTGAGCCCCACATTGGGTGTAGAGATTACTTAAATAGACGAAACTTTAAAAAAAAGTATGGGGGGAGAATAACTCAACTGAAAGCAAATGGAATAAATGAACCATACTGTATTTCAAATAACCACACTTAAAGAAGAGGTGGGGACAGTAGAAAGGACTAATTCAAGTCATTTATGAACTCCCAGTCTGAGGTGAGTTGGGGTTATGAGGCAAGCAGAACTGCAAACAAATCCTGAGCTCTCTTTAGTAGGTTTGGTTTTGGTAGAGATATAGGCAAAACAATTCTGAAATGACTCAAGATAAAGGATTGAACAAATGAATAAATGGATCGATGTAGTTAGGCATCAGGGTTCTCACTGTGAAGGAAGGGACATACAAATATGAAATGGGGAAAGGCAAGAAAGAACCCTGTGAGGATGGATTGGAATTGGAAGGATTGGTATGAACTCATTATTTCTGAAATATGTACATATATGTATATATGCATGTTAATGTGCTCATTATATATCTGTATATGTGTGTATGTATATATATACATGTGTGCATATATTTACTAGTTCTGTCTAATGAAGGGGCCAAGAGGCAAAAACACCCCAGTAGTAATGAGTACACCTAATGCTCAGATCTTTAACTCTAATAATGTTTCCTCCCTAAAAGGAACCAGGCTCCTCAGAATAATGGCAGATTGTAGGGCTGGGACGGAGTAGGGATGAGATAAATCTGGAACATTTTTTTCTTTTTTAAGTAGGCTCCATGCCCAGTGTGGAGCCCAATGCAGGGCCTGAACCCATGACCCTGAGACCAAGACCCGAACTGAGATCAGGATTCAGAAACTCAAACCAATGGGGCGCCTGGGTGGCTCAGTCGTTAAGCGTCTGCCTTTGGCTCAGGTCATGATCCCAGGGTCCTGGGATCGAGCCCCGCATCAGGCTCCCTGCTCCATGGGAAGCCTGCTTCTCCCTCTCCCACTCCCCCTGCTTGTGTTCCCTCTCTCTGTCAAATAAATAAAATCTTAAAAAAAAAAAAAAAAGAAAAGAAACTCAAACCAACTGAGCCATTTAGGTGCCCCAAACCTGGAACATCTTTTAGGTCATAAAGTAAGGAAGTGCTTTAAAAACAATGAGGGCATGTCATAAGTATACAGGAGCCAGCTTGAAGGAGCTCCCATTGGCCAAGTCTGGGAGTATTTGAGCACGAAAATAATTAAGTGTAGTGATAAATTATAAATCATTGAAAAAATAGAAATCCATGACTCCATACTGACAATCCATCCATCCACCCATCTATCCATCATCCATCAATAAGGGAGGAGGGTAAGCTCTTGTTTAAAGTAGAAGTTCAAGTGCCCACTGATTAATGTAGAAAGAATTCTGGAGTAGGAAATTCAGTGTTTTGTAACTATTTTAAGTAAAGTTTGGATCAGGCATGAATCATCAAAGGGTACTAAATCCAGGGGGAGTTTTTTGGGGTGCCCGGCTGGCTCAGTGAGTAGAACATGAACTCTTGATCTCAGGGTCATGAGTTGAAGCCCCACGCTGGGCACAGAGCTTGCTTACTTAAAAATAAACAAATAATTCCAGGAGAATTTTTTATGAGGAGCAGGATATTTTCATTGCTTTAAGATGTATCCCCTACAGAATTGCTTATTAGTTTCAAGGAAGAAAAAAATAATTATACAGCAGAGAAATCTGACAAGCCCTTAACTAGGTGATT